AATTACGTTTGGGACATACACTTCCTAGAAGTTCTTATTAGTGTCAGAAAGCGGCTATCATATATTTTTCAACAGAACAATTATTAGGTGTTATTATGTTCATTAGCAAAATGTTTGCAAAATTTGGATATATATATATAATACTGTGTACAGAAATTCAGATTTTTTTATTCGTAGTTGGTGACACTGGATTAGTAGATAATTATTTTTCAAGATTTGTACATTCCAGATTTTAAATTCCAAGTATGTACGGTTCAATTTTCGATAACTGTAAAACCCTGGATTTAAGATTTGTACTTTCCAGGTTTGTATTTTCAAGGTTTGTGTACTTTCTAGATTTTTACAGTTTTTTTTTTCAGATACATAAATGTTTGCGGAACATAAGTTTTGAAACAAATATTTTGTGATTAGTGAATATTTCTTGCAAAAACATTTATTCACACTTATGTTCTGCAAATGTTTTTTTTAATGGATTTTTTTCGCAATACTTTCAGTCAAGCATGTAGAACGACTCTGTTTATTTAATATAGCCATAAATTTAACTATAATTTTTATATTTTATTTAATGCATATTCTCTAACATCAACAGATTTGTTTAATACATTTTCATCATCCTAAAATAGTAATTGAAGTTTGAATGCTTATTAAAAAACATAGTGATACAGAAATAGAGGAAACATATTAAACAATTGAAGAAGCACTTGTGGCAATAAAGGCATAAGACAAAGTCATAGTAATGGGAGACTGGAATGCTTTGGAGAGAGACAAAAATGATAGCATTGTGAGACAATATAAATTAGGACTGAAAAATGAGGACATAGACCGGTAAACTTTTGAAAAGTAAAGAAATATGTGATAACAAATATATGGGGACTGAAATGCATAAAAGTAGACATTACACATGGTCAAGGAACCAAATAGAATTCATACTAGTAAATATAAGATATCGGAACTAGGTATAAAATCAATAGCCTATCCAGAAGCAGATAAGTACAGGGACTGGAAAGGCCATGTACAAATTACTAAAACATAAACTAGATAGAGTATGTAGAAAAGCACATGAAAATTGGTGGGGAAAATGATATTCAGAAATAGAAATGCTAAATAAATGTGGAAAATATGACATCACAAAGAAAAAAGAGAATTTGATTTTGCACTAAAAATGGTCCAAAACGAAGTAGCCCTTGGCGTGGATAGATAAGTGATTGAGTTTCTGGAAGAATCTGGAGAAAGAATTAGAGGGTAAATCAATAATTAATATTATGTACACCAGATTTCAGAATACCATGATTTTTTTAATGATAACTAAGATTAACTATAGAATTTTTTGCATGATTACCAAAAAATTGTATACTGATTTCCATTAGTGATTTGCTTTCTGGAAAGAATGTTGCTTTAAATTTGTAAGGAAACTATTTACTTCAAGAGAATTGTCAAAAGAGCATACATCAACAGTTACCAAAGAAAATAAATGCAGTAGAATGTAACCAATTCAAATAAATTAGTCTGATACCACATATATCTATCATTATATTAAATATAATCAAAAACTGTATAGAGACAAAAATAGAAGAGAGTATTTCTACCGTCCATTATATTTTATCTAGGAACAATGTATCTTTTCATCTACATATTACTTAGTGTCAATTTATTGTAATATGACACAGTCAATTATGAATAAAAACGTGTCAATTTTCAGATGAATTTAAATAAAAGAAGAAAATAAAAAAATGGGGTTGGAGTTCAACAAATCAGGTGGTTTGTGCCTAGAAGGTAATCTGACTGAAAATTACAAGTTTTTTAAACAAGAAATACAAATTTATTTCAAAGCAACAGACTAGTAAAAAGGAAAATGAAGTACCAGGTGATCTATTTAAGTGTGTGTTTTGGAAAATATTAACTTTTTCTGAATTTGTTTTCTAGAACATTTAAGAAACATTCTGCTCTACAATTTTATATTTATGTTATTTTTTATCATCCTTATTTTTGGGTGTACAACCACTACTTACTTTTGATTTTCAAATGGCAACCATTATTAAAAATTCCATAAATAGATGGAATATTAGTTAAAATACATTTTAGTGTTGCCATTTTTTATTACTGTTAATCTGTTGATGAAATATTCGACTTTTAAGTTTGGTTTGAAGGAGAGTATCATTTGTGTGACAGTAAGTCCCACGGTATGTTAATAATGCACCATTACTCACCTCCAACTCAAATTTAAAGGGGAATATCTCGTCAACGGATTGATGGAAATCAATATTTTCAATACTAAAGTTTATTTTAACTAATACCTATTCCATTTATATATGTATTTTTTAATATAGTTTGCCATTTGAAATCAAACGTAGGTTTACTCCAAAAAAAATATAAATATAAAATTAAAGAGCTGCTTGTTTCTTAAATGTTCTAGAAAACAAATTGCAAAAAATATTAATGTTTTCTAGTATAATGAGTGTACCTACTTAAATAGATCACCTGGTACAGGTTAATCACTAATTAAAATTGTTAGGACATGATGAACTAAAATTGTATATTATAATCAAGAATGGTGAAATTAAAACCGCGGACATAATATTATATTCTAAAATCGAATGAAATCATGTAACACTTTAAGTTCTTCAGTTGTAATATTTGCAACAGGAGTGTGAATGTTTTGATATATGGGTTAAAAATTTAAAAAAATCAAAAGGATGCAATTTTGGCGACGTGAAGAACAACATTTAAAAAATACTAATAGTACTGGGCATGTATGATATGGAAACACAGGCAAGGCTGTTGAGAGATGGTATTTCATTGATAAATACAATTTGCACATTGCCAAGCTGAGTTGAACAAAAAAAAATTAGTAGAATAACATTGATGGCAGCAGATAGAGAAAACAAAGCGGTACATGAAACTAATTATAGACTTAAAATCAGAAGTGGTATTAGGAGCAGAATCATGGATACAATTGGAAGAAGAATGAAGTGTTACAAAAACTGGAAAAAGGAAACAATGGGAAGGATCACATAGTTGACTCACATAGACTCCCAGACTCCGAGTTTAGACTTCAAAATTAGTTTTTCATTGAAAATTTAAAAAAAACGAAAATAATTGGCAAATTAATACGAGTTGTAATTCTTTTTTTATACATGTCATATAAATTATATGGAAAATATTATATTATGTATGATATATAATATTATATTTGTATGAAGTAGGAAAAACTGGAAAATTTAAGTAATATATTAGGAATATATTACAGTATTTTTTTCTTTGATAACTTTTCTATTAGCAATTTTGCTCTGATTTACAATGATTGAATAATAGCACTTTTTCTGAAAGTTAATCAGACTGGGGAGGTACTTTAGCGAGGTCATTTTTTGATATTTCCAGGAGTTTTCCAAATAAATGAGAAAAACTGAAAAATAGTTACATTATTAAACAAATAATATTAAAGAAACTATATAATGCATATGTAATTATTTTACCATAATATGACATATATATTGTTGACAAAGTAACACTATCAATCAAATTCCATTTAGAATCGTTTTTTTTTCATTAGCAATGGTTTATGTTAAATATATAGGTGATATCAAAAAACTCCTCCAGAAAAAATTCTTAAAACCGCCACTGAGTGGAACTGAAGTGAATATATTGTTGGAAAATGACTGTAATAGACTGGTGTTACACAATGTGATATGAGAGATGAATGTAATAATAGAGGTGTATGGAGGATTTATGATAAAACTAAAACTGAAGGCTAAAAACTTTTTTGTTACTAGGTGATAAGTTTGTAGAAACTGAGTTTGTTATTTTTTGAGTAGTTATTGTTTTATAGGGCTGTTATAAATTCTCTGCTCACTAAAACAGTTTAATTTAGAAATGATAAAGACAAATATTTATATATTTCCATTGTATTACTAATAAACCAAACTTTTGTGTTTCTTGTCTATAAATAATGTTGACATTGTTTCTTTTTTTTAGGACCTGGTCTTTTTTTTTTGAGATTAATGAAAACTTGATACTGGAAATTTAAATGTTGTAATTGCAGTAATTTTTACTTATTGTTGCTCAAAATTGCTCAAAGATTACGGCTTTTCAAAACTGTATAATGGAAATTTGCTCCGAATCATTTTTCGTTGGCATTGGTTTACCGTTACTTACAGTTATAAATTAAATAACTTTATTTTTCCTACCTTCCCAACAACCTTCCGAATTCCTACAAAAGTGGAACACCCGTTCCTAGTATCAGCTATTTTTTTTAAAAATATTTATTTATTTCTATTAATATTTTTGAAGGATTATTAGAAGATTTCAGTTTATTTAAGTTATAAGCTAATTATTTTATTTTTATTAAAAAAAGCAAATACCCTTACTCACATCTTTATCTGAAAATTGCCTCCTTTTAAAAATTGCCGCCTCTAGGCAATTATTCCATCCCTTCCAAACCACTCATTGTTTACATCAAATAACAATATTGGAATTTGTTATTGTTGATCCCACTAAGTTAATACAATTTCTATTTATGATTATTATGTCCATATACAATTTAAATTTATCCATAGTATGGAACTTTCAGTACACGAGCCTAATTCCTATCGCTTGACTTTAATATTTTTTTTTTTTTTGCATGCCTGATTCCCAATACATTACGTCTTAAATGCAATTATGTCATGCATACTTTTAGTTTTACCTTATATTATAGACTGAATTAATATTAGTAAAAGTAAATGGCAGGTGTGTTCAAAATTATAAACTTACCTAAATACTCGTATATAGTAACTGTCGAAGTTATTAAGTCGTAAATCTCATATTTTAGAAATAATTTTAAAATAATAACAGTTAACAATTTATTTGGAACTTGGGTAGTTATATATATAATACAGCTACATTAAAAACAAAATTCAATTTTTTTTTAAAATTCGTATACAAACATTTTTTTAACTTCGGATATCATTCTTCATTTTATAAACGTATTAGGACTTAACATATTCATTTCTGGATTGCATAGGTCATTCTGTAGGTTCACAACTAAAAACAAAAAAAACAAAACTGAGGTTTATTTTTGGTTTTGCTTAGATATTGAACAAAATATGCCTATAATAAAATTTTCTAAGTATCTACCTATTTACTTATCGAGAAAAAATAATTTAAATTGTTTAGATATATCTAATATCTATTTTTTTGTTTATACATTTAAAAATATATTCTATTCGTTTTTTTACATAAATTTAAAAATTACCCACCCGCAAGTATTGTTATTAAATTCCGATCCTGTCGTACAATTATCGTTTTCGACTTTTCGACATTTACATGAGCAACTATCTGAATCCCACATTTTTGTATCTCTTTCTGCGTTACATTTGTATTGGTCCTCTGTATTATTACAAATACAATTACAACCTTTGGGATTATACATTTGTGAGGGCTTACAATGCTATAGAAAAAAAATAATCAATCAATTTAATTATTTTTAATGTTTTTCTGTTTCATATAACATACTTTTATGGTACAATCACATTTGCATGCAACGTGTTGGGGAACAGTAACATTTTTCTTTTCTTTAAAAACAAAATGTGTTCCATTGTATTCTAAAATTTTTACCTATTATACACGAATACATTTGAGATAGGTTTTAGGTTATAGGTGAAAACAATATTGCTTCAATATTGCATTTTTAAAATAATATATTTTATTAAAATTTACTGGGAAGTTGAGCGTTTCCACTTGGGTTGGTTGACAGGAAATCAAATTGCTACCACAACAACCGCCACATCGCGTAACTCGTGTACATGATGGCGTATACTGTATATTTGGGTTTCCCTCATCCTTTTCGTCAATTAGGGAGACTGCGGTTATGTCCGTTTTACACATCGACAAAGCTATCTCAGGAAAATAAAATTATTAGAAATTATTTAGTTTATGTATAATTATTTCATTTTTTAACTAATATTATGTGTTGGTAGGAATATACAGAATGATTCATTAAGCGTGCTCATTTTTTATGTGCTCACAACATTTAAGGGGTATTATCCTATGCTACTTAAATGATATTCCACTACTCTCGTTAGGTTAGTTTAGGTAATGAATATCTCGTTAACGGGTTGACGGAAACAATTCATTATCAGGGGAATTTAATTTATGTTTGTACATAACGGAAAACGATTTAGACTGAATTTTTTTGTACATATTATGTACGTTAATATTTCCGTTTTTCTTATATTTTTTCCCGGGTCTTCACAAGTATTATGATCGGACCAAGGTTTCTAGAGGAAAAGTTGCTCACAGATTAAAAAATGTAAACATCATTATGTAACTTATGTATTCTTTGTTACATTCCGAATCTAAAAACTTTGATTAGGTGTAACATTTGTTTGGGTAATTATGGTACCCATCCGACGGTGTATACGAATTTTTTATAAATGCTAAGGCGCAAATTGTAGGCAAATTATTTACAATCTCGTATTGTCGTTTATACATAGTATTTGGTGTACTGCGTGTACAATAAAGTAGTGAATCAAAGTTTAGAATCTTTTAGTGCAAAAAATAAATAATTATAATAAAAAAAAGGATGACTTTCGTATAAAAGATTCTTTTATTGAGGTACCTTAAAATACAGATATTACAAATTTAATCTTCCAAAGATATGGTATAACGAGTAATAATTGTAAAATCGAGACTAGTATATAATAGGTACTCTGGAATAGTGGTTTTCAATTTTTTTGTAGTCATGGACCTACAGATGACTTATTAAGTAGGACTGCGAACATATTTAGGTTTTAACCCTAAACCCTAAAAATCAATTTTTTTCAATATAATACTTACCAATACCTTTTTATCACGGACCGGTGGTTGAAAATCACTTTTTAGAATATATTTGTTAGTTAATCATACATTTTGCTATTAATTAGTGATGGTTTTCTAGGGTCTTAAATGATTTTTAAAATTTGTAGAAGATTTTTAAAATTTTTATCTTTTGTTAAAGGGAAATATTCACATTTTCATTCCAAAATTATCTAAATTTTGAAAAATTACTTTTAATAGTATATCTTTGAAAGATTCATATTTTCCTATTTGCATTTTAACATTTCTTAATAAAAAACATCTTCTTTAAGAAAAAATTGTCACTTTAATTTATTTTTATTTTTCATGTCAAATCAATTTTGTCTGTGTCACAAGTCCGGAGTCATGCTATTTTTATAATTTAATATAGATAAGTATACGTATTATTTAATTTGTAAGAAGTTTATGTTATTATATTTTAAATTAAAGTTAAAATATTAAACCAGTTCTTTAAGTCTAGAGTAGTGTACAATTTTTAAACGCCGGTCATATTTCTCAATAAAGGTTAAACTTTTGTCAGAAAGTAGCATATTTGAAAACCTTTAGATGGAGGTATCTATTACTACTTTAATGATGTGCAATTTTTTAGTTTTATTTAAAACATACGGTGAATATTTCGAATTTGATCAGACTTACTTTTCAACTTATCTTGCGTTTTATTGATCAATGGAATCTAAAACATTAAAATTATTTTATTTAATACAAATATACTATATTTGGTATCTTAAATAACAACTAAATATTTAAATGTAAATTTATGCATTTAAATCTGCACAAATTACAAATGAATAGATTAAATAATTTTTAATTAAATAATACTGTAGAGTATTGGTACTCAATAATTCGATGAATCAATTTTCGTTATTTTAAATTAAACTAAAATAGAAACTAAAAACCTCGATTTATATAATAAAATTGAATATCTACTTTTTCGTATGGTTTAAGCTCTGAAACTATACATGCATTTACTAGATTTGCATGGTATGATTTTGTATTTTGTAGATCATTTTTAAAGTACACGTTTAGGAGAACCTAGATTTTTAAATTTCAATTTAAATATTGATGATCATATTTAAAGTTTGAACTTTCTGTTAATTTTTGCAGGTTTTTATTTTTGGTTATTACACGTAGAAAAACATATTAACAAATATTTTATTTCTGGTTTTAATTACTACCTATACCTTAGTATACAATAATATTAGATAAACCTATTATTATATAATATGTACTATTCAATTTTTCGGTCAATTTTATCTCAAGATTATAAATATTCCATTTACACATGCTTTTAAAATCATGGTTGTTTATGAATTTCATTTATATTTTGTTATCTAGTCATTTTCAATACAACAATAATGGTAAAGTTAAAATTATTATGCTGTTCAATTCATTAACTTACTAGCTGTCCCCCGTTTGGCGTTGCCCGTGTGAGTTTTTTAATTTCTTTTTTCCTGTTTTACTTTGCCTATATCTGCAGTATATTGAACGGAAAAAAAATGGGTGGAAAGTATTCCAACTTTTAGTGTTCACTGAAAGTTTTCTAGTGTGGCATATATATTTTCATCCGTGTTACCATAGATACCAGCACAGCACAGGGTTTAAAGTGTTGAAACTATATATCCACTATAACGCTTAAATTATGAGGACCTAATAGTAATGTAGTGTTATTACTGTATAAAAATATACAGAGATTTAAATATGACGTTTTACGTATTTTCACTTTTCACTTACCCACCTACCCCAGTACAGCACATCATTTTTATTTTTTTTTCATCCATGTTATAAAGGTAGCCCATCCTATTTCAAGCCAATAATAGACTCGTAAACAGTTAGATAGACTTTTATTATAAGTTGTTATGCCATTTTTATTTCTGTTTATTATTTATATTTTTGTATTACATTTTTTTCATTTCATCCGTTTAATTAATCCGTGGTAATCCATAATTCAACAATAATAATTTTATTTTCGTACTAAAATTACCTAAAAACCTTTTATCGCCATCATATTATATTTTCGCGACAAAAAGTACCCTATATTTTTCTCCATCTATCCAAGGTCCTATCTATCTTTGTATCAAAATTCATCAAAATTGGCTCAGCGGTTTAGAAGTAAAAACATAACAGACAAACATATTTTCATATTTATGATATTAGTTAAGATCATATCATAATGTTATAATAAATTAAAAAAGATATATAGTTCGTACGGGGGTGCAGCCATTATTTTAGGTGAGAAGTTAAGAAGGTATTACAGGGGAAATTTAATGTAATCTGTAAGCAACGATAAACCATTGTTAACGAAACAATGTTTCTGAGGGGAGTTCAGTTGATAGTCTTGCTTTGTCAACAATATGTATTTCATATTTTGGTAAAATAATTACATAGGCATTATGTATTTCCTTTAATAATATTTGTTTAATATTGTATTTATTTTCCTGTTATTCCTACGGGTTTCCCATTTATTTGGAAAACTCCTGGGGAAAATTAAAAATGACCTCTCTAAAATATTTTTGGAAAAAAGTGCTGCGCTTCAAAATCGAAGCAAGATTTCTGGTAGAAAAGTTGCGTACAAATAAAAAAATAAATAAAAATCTTTGTAAAACCATAAGCTTCACTCACCCACTCAGATCCTAAAATGCATTATAAAAACAGTCGTATGGTTAACCGTCATAGGTATCTATTATCAGATGACAATATCAGGGATAATAATAATATTTATAGTGATTGGGTATATTTTTAACAATATTATTAACAATTAATTTATAAGATTAGTATAACTAATAATTAAAACTAAACACATACGTATGATTGGTATAAACCATAATATTTTCCAAAATTGTATGCATTTATAAATATGTGGTAACTCAGGCGTGGCTCCTGCGGGGGGGGCAAAGGCTTTCCAGAAATTTTAATTTTTTAATACACATTATTTTCCTTGTGAATAGTAAAATCCCGATTATTTAATTAGATAGTTAACAATTTTATTTTGGCTGAAAAACCCATATTATGATATTAATATACGGTGTGTATCATATAGAAACGTATATTAATTTGGGAAATTACCATTATTAGTCGACGGACGGTTTATGTACCTATATTAAATTTATTCATTAGTTAAAGATAAAGCATAATATTATAAATGTTTACATTATACGACTATCGACTTATAATTCTTATTATTATTTTTCTTTTACTGTAGCAATTTCGACGTATTTTTATCGAGGATCGTTTTTTCGGCGGGCATTTTTGATTCGACTATTATTACCTGATCTAACCGATGACCACTTATTATTATAGGTTAGGTGTGACTCGGATACGGATTTCCGCAGGGGCGGCTTCAGGTGGGGCTAAGGTCCGCGCCTCCCCCCCTCCCATAATCCCGTACTTAAAAACAACTAAACAAAAAAATAAACTTATAAAATATATTTTAAATACAGCTTTTTAAAAAATATGACTTGGCCCTCCCTAAACTAAGTCTCTGGAAGCGTCTCTGTGGTAACTTTATATATATATATATGCCAATTGAAACTTTAAATATTGATAGTATTAAATTCAATTTTAAATTTGAAACTATTTATTTTTTTTTAGTTGCTTAAATAAATTTAAATTGTTTTCTCGCTCATATACTAGAATCTTGATTAGAGGGCATTAAATTTTTCTTAAGAACAATGTAAGAAATTAAAAAAAAAAATTATCTCCAAAACGAATGAAAATAAATTAGTTAACTGTATTAACTTTGTTCAAATAGTTCATATACTAATACTGATGATTTTAATTTTATAATTCAAGTTTTGTAAATTGATCAATGATTTATAGTAATACAGTAGTGTAATTAAGAATTATATAAACTGACAACCATATAAGAGAAAATCTATTTGAAATGTAGAAAAACTATTCGATAGTTTTGGATGAACCAACTATTTTCGATCCTAATGATACGTACAGTTGTACAGATGCTTTATGTGTGATTTTATACTGCAATTATTGTTGATATATGAGTAGTACAAAAAAAATCAATCTCTATGTGCATGTGTTGAACGAGTATGAGATTATAGGTAAACAATAAAACAAATCAAACAATGTATATTAAACTAGTCCATTTTATTAAAAAAAAAATTGTCAAATCTCGATTGATCAACATTTATAGGAATACATACTAATAATAAATTACAAAAAAAAAGTTTTGACAATGAGTATCATTCTATGCGTATATCATGCATAATTATGTCATTTATGAGTACTTACCTTATAATAGGTATCAGATTTAAAGAATTAAAAAAATAAAAATATGCAAGTTATAACAGAAAAAATAGCTCTATCATAGATACATAACAAATTAATTTTATTTCTAATGGATTTATAAAATTTCTTGTCACGATTCTCCCAAAGAATACATATTCCTGTTAAATTCGTTACCAGTATTTTTTGTCCTCGTTCTTAATGGTTCACAACTGAAATATACAATACGTACACATCAAAAAATATATTAATACATAATCATCATTTATTAATCAAACGTTATTGATATATTTTTAATATTTTAAAGTAGGTATACCTGCAAGTATCGTAGTCAAATGAAAATCCGGTAGTACAATCTTGTCGTTCGACACATTGACACGCGCAAGCTGCTGGGTTCCATAGCTTTTTTGCATTCCGTTCTTCGTCACATTTTTGCCGATCTTCATCATTGGTGCATACGCAACGACATTCTTTTTTAAAATATGTCTGGAGAGGGTTGCAGTTCTATAAAAAGACAAATTATTTATACAATTTATAATATACAATATTATTATAATAGAATATTATGATATTTTAAAGATCGTACTTCTGGCTGAACAATACAATCGCATTTGCACGTTGAATGTTGAACTACCGACACGAATTTTCTACCTTTGAATTCTAATTTCCCTTCATTATACTGTGAAACCATTACCTATAAATAATTTAAAAAATATATCAAACGTGAAACGGGTAGAAGTAGGCAATTTTGATTTACGCACTTCGAATTGAAGCGTTTCGGTTTTTGTCGGTTGACATCCCAATAAATCGTGAGCACAGCAACCTCCACAGCGGTTCACTCGTGTGCACGGGGGATAATAATACAAACTAGGATCGTCAGTATCTTTTAGGCTGATTGTTCTGCTTTCAAGAGAACAACTTGCTGGTTTAGGAATTAATGGTGCTTCTAAAATATAAATAATAATAATATAAATTTTTTTGTAGGTACATTGAGTTTTTAAAGAATCAATTATTTTATTTTTATACATTGAATTCAATTACTTACTTCTTTCTACATTGGGCATACTGCGATCTGAAACTGAATAAAAACACATGCTATTTAATGCTAAATGATATAACATATTATTTAGTTATTCAAACGACTAGGCAGATAAAATGGCAATGATATATTAAAATCAAATTTTGATTTGTAATAATGTACCTATACGTAGTCAGGTATAGTTACGATTATGGAGATCTCGTAAATAAATCACCCCCCCCCCCCCCCTAAAATAATAATAGAAATATGAAATAACTTAAGAGAGGGGCTCTTAAGTTATTCCATATTTCTAGGTACCTAACCTATCTTATTGTGTAAGATAAACAAGTAAATTACCATGTTTTAACGACACCTATTACTTTGTATTGAATTTGATACAAGTTTTTAAAATTATTTTCGAGTATTTTTATTTTTTAATATCACTTGAAAATGCGTTATTATATTTCTCATTTAGTCATTACTTGTTAAGGGGCAGCTAATATGATTTATTTAATCGGTTTTTGATAGTAGGTATGGTTAAGTTTTTATAAAAATTATGTATTTTTATTTTCCTAATTCAATTAGTTTGTATACTTACTTTGAAAACCTGTTGTAGCTATAATCCTTTGTGCTTTGTACAGATCTACATCAGGCATGAATTGAGAGAATAGTTGTGAAATGTTTTTCACCTCGTTTAATTGAAATATGACATCTAAGGGAATCTGAAAAACAAAAACATTTTTTGTTGAATATTATACAAATAAAGTACGAGATATTATAAATTCGAAATATCCGTTTTATAGTAATATATTTTTATGTACGTTCGTAATCTAGAACTTCAATTATTATAATCGTACCGAATGATATAACTTCAGATTACCTAAACAATTTTTAGTCAAATGTGCCCTTATGTCCTTAAATTTGTAAATAAATTAATAATAATACCTATATGTATGTCAAAAGCAAATGAAAATGTGTTATTATTGAATTGATCGGATCATTTATGTTTGAAAATATAATATTCAAACAATTAAATAGATGACAATTTTCTATGAATATTTCAATGTAAACTGGATAACTTATAATATTATTACCTATATACAAATTTATAATTGTATTTTATCGATATCGATGTAAATTTTAAGAATATTTTAACATAAAATTAAATTAATATATTTGTATTTTATTTAAATTTGTTTAAATAAAATCTCCGTTTAATAAATAAAATATCTATCATCTTAATCAAGAGTCAATAAATTATATCCTAACTGCATATCCTAATGTGAGTTTTCAATAAATAATAATACAAAATTGTAGAATAACTTTAACAGGTGTAAAATAATTATTGTTTATTGTATTGTAAAAAATAAATCTATAATTTCATTACTAGAAACAAATATTGATTATTTATAAAGATTCGTATAGGTGTATAAAAAATACCTAAACGGCGGAATATTTCATTGATAATAATAAACAAAAAAAAACATTGAAATTTGTTAGCGTTCTGTTATTTAATCAAGGTCAATTTTGTAAAATATTAAAATATCATGTGTTATTGTATACAAATTTATACGTCATATGAGTCACGGCGATATGAAAGTGCATATTATTTGTAAATTGTGTTATTATTTTGTTTTTTGGATCTAAATGAGGATACAAAACGTTTATTAAAGTTCATTTACTCACGCGAACTACGTACACAATTGCATTATTTATTGTTATAAAATCAGTACAGTGACGAATAGATATAGGGAACTATATGACTTTATATGACCTCAAAAATCCTCTTCCTGCAAAGCGAATGCAGGAAGGGCAATATGATTATTTTAGTTTGTTGTTTTATTTTACATTTAATATCTTTTTAGTGAACTCTCTTACTTATATATTACTTGAAACACGCACAAATCATTTATAATTTTCAAATTATTGTAAGACAATAAGTTAATAAATAAATAACTAGATAGCTTAGTTGACATAATTATTAATTTTTAGGCATAGAAAGTTTAAATTGGTAAATAATGAAAAAAAAATACATACATAAAATTATACTGTGCTAGTTAAATTTTTGGATAACCTTTTAATAATATAATAAATAATATAGGTACTACTATATTATTACTAGCATAAAATGTGAATAATCATTACTTACATTAAGCGATAATTTTTTTTTTTTAATTTATACTGTTTTTGAAATATATTGGATTATTATAAAATTATTATAAAACACATTTTATGGTTTAAACTATAGTAATGTTTGATTTGCTGTGAATATATTATACAATTTTATAATATTACCAGTTTCAACAAAAAGCCAATTAGCTCTCAGAAAACGAGGAAACAGTATATATATAAAGAAGTGAAAAAAGTCTCGACAAGTATTAAATACTTAATTTTGTTTCAATAAAAAAATGTACATCGTAAACTAAACGGTTAAATTTAAATAAAATTTACCTACATAAGAATAATTGAACAACATAATATACTTTATTGAATAAGTTAGAATAAAATAATTTTAATTTTAATATTTTTTTTTATAAGTTTTGTGTCAAATGTGCATAATATTCAAATGACCTTATAAATAAGTTTTGATGCACGGATGATACTATTTTAGATTTATGCAAAATCCAATGTTTGAATATCGCTGCAGTTTAATAACGAGGAAATAAAATAAAATAAAATCATAACCTTGTCAACAATTAGAATCGTTTTTCAGACGATAAAATAGATTCTGGGTTCTATTATTGGATAGCCTCCCTCTTTATGTCACTTAAATGAAAACAAAAAATTCCTCATCTAATTTACTTATTGTGCGAAATTTATGTATTGATTGTAAGTATTCAATAAAAAAAAATAAATAGATTATCGACTTCAAACTTAAAAATAATCGCATAATAATGGCTTGCATATCGACATCTGTAGCTCACCCAAAATAGAGATCTGCCTTAGATGTTAGTGAAGTTAGGTATACTTATTATATGTGTACTTTTTTGTAAATGTTCTATTTTCTGTTTTTTTTTTTTTTTTTTTTTTTTTTTTTTTGTTAAATTTTATTTTAAATTATCATTTTTTAACAGACAAGCCAAATATAACATTTTCTAAACTTTAATAATATTGTAGCTATACTATAGGTACTTAGGTAGGTATAAATAATGTATTGTGTCCTTCATCATTAGGTACCTATATTACTTTATTATAATACTAAATTAAAATGCATTTTCAGTGGTGTAAGACGTTTATTAGTCTTTACTCTTTGTATATTACAAAACATAAGCCAAAATCTAACATGAAGGTTTTTAACTAGGTATAAAAATTAATAAATGGCCAGATGGGTGTATATTTTTTGTGTGAAATTATTTAATTACAACGTATCTGTACATTTCATAATATACCTAGTTAGGCAATTAAAATGTATATTTTAAAAACAATAAACAGTGTAATAATTTAACAATGCGTGATAATATTAAATGTTAATTATTGCCTACCCTATAAACATATGCAATTTGATTTTACCTTAACGCAACTTAGACGGGGTGTAATAAATATAGCTTTCTATATCACGATTAAAAAATTAATATTCAAATAATACAATTATTGACGACCCTTTAATATTTTTCAGTGTCGGATATTGTCAGAATAGATACCTAACTGATTTCTAAAAGTATTAACGGCATTACCAAAACGAAACGGTGTATAGTATCTACATCCGTTGTCATTGAAGATTCGTAATATTTTTTACTAGCGATCTCGATAGTATACTGTTTGGGGTTGTTTGCTTCAATTAAACTGATGAATTGTCGTAATTTATATAATATGAGTCACAAAGTAAAAATTTTTGTAGACAGGTATTCCTGTATGATAAGGAAAACTATTATGACCCGTTACAAATATTTAATTCTCGTTAGTTTTATGCTCATTGCAATGTCTTAATAGGTCTTTGTTTATTTCCGATTAACTAGGTATTTGTATACTATGTCGTATGGTTTAGGTAACGTCGGCATTATATTGCATATTGCAATATTATATACTGCGAAGAAAAATTATTTTAATCTAAAAAAGTCTGTTCAGTAGTGTGTCAAATAATTGGCAAATCCAGGAAAACGTGGTTTCCGGGGTAGGTACAGTGAATATTTAACCGGGTATCTCTAATAATTATTTGACAACAATGGGGAAAAAAGTACAATATTTATGTCTTTAATTTTCTTCTGAACCAGTTCTTACCTACCTACACACACGTACAGTATGTAGTCATTAGGACTTCTCTGCGATTATGACGTACAGACAAATTAGAGTAATAGACTATGCTATGTATTACATCTATATTCTATATAGTTTAAAATATATGTTTTTTGAAAATTATATAATGTGAAATTTTCGTTTAAAAAACGTGTGCTGTTAGTTTTAATATTACATAGAATATTGTCAATGTTTGTAAATTAGTTTTTTCAATTTTTTTAAGTGAGGTACGAGTATATGAAATATTACAATTTAAAAATCATAATGTGTCGCTTAAAAATCCAACGTACAAACACAGGCCAATTCACTCTAATATTAAAACTAGGTAACAGAACAAAATTGATTCTACTGAACAAAAATTTGGTATTTTATATTTATAATACTTTTGAGGTATGAATTCGTAGCACCTAGCAATCTGATAACAATGTATATGTACGTGACAGAAATATAATTGAAATAATAACTGAGCCCCTTCACGCACTTGTTTGAATAATAATTTGTATTATGTTTGGTTATGGTTATGAGTTATGACATGTGAGTACCTATAGTAATAATTACTATGAATATTTTAACAATTATTGCTAGATTATTGAGTCGCATTCAGTGGACAATAAAAGAATATATATTATTGGATTAGTGTCGAGTAAATTTGTTTTTTTTTTTTATTATTATAAATACTTAATAAAACGACTTAATCGATTCTTAAACAATGTATACTGAAGTTATTGAAATTTTATTGTAGATACTATCGGAACTATAGATTAACGGTCCGTTGTGTCTCGATTTCCGTATTCTCGGTAATGATGGGCATACTATTCATTCTTGAAAGCACTATAAATTACATGCAATATATTTTCGAAGTTTTCATAACGTTCGTTTTTTTCTTCTTTAAATCCTAACTACGAAATTTACATACTTACATTTGAGTTATGTCTGTAGTTAAAAATATTAAGTCATTTAAATAATTTAATTACGGAAAAAATAATCGATTAAAAAATATGACGTATGTGGGTAATAATTGGGCTTTTAATTTCCGCAAACGGGCGTTATTGTGCGTCTTCCAAGCAATTTTCACCATTGTTTCGGTCTAATCTCATTTATTAATTACACGTAAAAAAACTGGGTCCACACGGGGACATCTTGTCCGCCCGAAATTTTTTCGGTTTAGACTTTGCGCTCCCCAGGACGATCCGGTATTGTGTCACATAGCATCGAAAAAAGCCGCGCAAAATGAATTTTGTGACGTCACATCCGTGCCGCGCCACTAGATGCCCCGCGTGGACGCGCCTTGATACTATGTTAGCGAAAACTGCGAACGAGTTATTTAAAAAATCAAAAAGTATTTGTGTTGGATTTCTCATTACGGGAAACTTATTAACTTTCAAACGGGGTAATATTATTTAAATGCGAATCGCGAATACGCAAATATATTAAAGTGGCCGCTGCAAAGCATTTTTTTTTTTTCATCGCTTGAAATAAAAAATATTTAAATTAATTATAATATTTACTTTCTTATATTTATATTACACCTATCTAATATAATTGTATTAAATTGGTTTAAATAAATAATAACTAAACACTTTGTTCAATTGTTTTAAAGTAGGTACAGTAGCCGTACTATGACCCCGTATTTTTCAATTCAAGGTTAAAACTGTACATTTTTGTACTTGGACCATATACATAATTCTAATGTTTCTTTTTTTTCGTAAAAAAAGTAGTAACGTTATTATTATTCATACTAATTTTAAAAACAAAAAAAATTATATACAATAAAACAGCATTAGTAAAAACTCATTTTTTTTATTACTAGATCCGAGATTTTGATTTACCAATATTGGTTTGAAATTGTGTTGGTACGTCGAACATAAAATGTTTTTACATATGATATCACATCGAAAAAATGCTCGGAATTCGTTAGATAATATAGTATAGGGAAAACCCGGAAAACCCCGTGAAAAATATTTAAACTCATTTTGGAGGTAAAACTCGTAACTCCCTCTTTTTTTTTTGTTTAGGTTAATATTATCGCGTACGAACAATCATTTTTTATCCACATTGCAGTGTGTATAATGGCAATATTCCATTTGATTTGTTCTTATAATATTATGGTTTAATGAAGACATGTATTTTGTGATATCGCAGAAATTGTCTTTTTTTCTTTTATTTATGTGCCTGTACTTATATCAAGGTGTATAGTAATTTTTTATGCAAACAAATAATAATAATGTGCATAGCGTTGTGATAGCGCTAGATATTTATTGTGACCGCGGTTTCGGTAAAACTACCATCGTCAGAGAATAATATGAGTAATAATGTTAGGTATTTAGCCGAATAGATAGATATATTAAGATTTTTCTGGGAATATTCTAATGGTAATAGAATGTCTGTGCGAATCCGGCTGACAGTATTTCGTTTTTTTTCCCAACTATACTTGTTTGTTTTATTATTTCAAAACATATTAACCGGTGATAATTATTTAGACGTTTTTCTTTTCATTTTTTACTCTTTAAAACCCGTATGAAAATCATTCAATTTTTGTAACTACTTTTGTTTTTCATGTTTTTTGTACTTTTACTAGATGATTTTTTAAACGGAAATACACAACCTATATATTATAGGTAATACCAGGGACGTAGGTAAGGGGGTGGGTTTAATCCCCTTATTTCGGGATTACTACAGGAGTTCAATTCTTCTTGCAATTCACAATTATTCACTCCGGTTAAAAGTAATTGATAGTCAGAATTCTCTCTCCCATGAATAATTTATTATGCTTATGTCTATGCTAGGTTAAGTTTTTTTTTTCATATTTTTTTTTAAATTTGATTTTTATTTATTTTTTTTTTACTTTAAACCGTAGTTTTAAATCTTTATAGAACTTTGAAAGAGCTTATTAACAAACATAAAATCTTAATATCTACATGTAGTATGTATCATTTTATACACGAACAAAAATTTAATTTTATTAATTCGGATTTGAATTTGTCGGGTGTCTAATATGAAAACAGCGAAAAACGATATCTGCAGTTGGATTGAAAGTATCTTTTTTTTGAAAAAATTGACATTCTATGTTTACTGTAAGCTCAAACAATTATTATAATTAGTATTTTGTCGATGGACTATTTATATTGCTAGATCCGATCATTCGTTCGCTCCCATAGGGGTAAATAAATTTAAAACTGAGATACAGGTAAATATTACTATTGCAGACCAATAACAACGTTGGAATTTATCTTTAACTTGTCGGCTGTTGATTTTTCTGTGATTAGGTATAGTAGAAATGAAATCGTTGCGATTCTTCACTATATGTAATTCCTATATCCATATAGTCATCACATAAGAAGAATATGAGTAAATAAAAAATATATTAACGGTACTATAAATAATGTTATTCAATATATGTATGTATACTTACATGGCGATTTCGTTATTATTTTTACGTAAAAAAAAGCACTTATTTCAGTTAGTTATACGTTTTACGTTCTACACACGTTACTAGATCTTTTAGTATTATTATTTTATTTTTTTTTTGTATACGGACATTATATTATTATTGTAAGAAAAAAAAAATTATCGTTGAAAACACGTGTTTAACATAAATACTATAACATGCACGGATATTATTAGACATATATATACACATACACACACACAGTCGAAAAAAAAAAACCAAAACAGAAAATCGCGGGACAAAAGTTCGTAAACCGGTCGCGACGAGCGCGTAAAACTGCAGCAATAATAATTGTCCTATTATTATATTACGCGTTATAAGCCGTACAGTTGTGTTGTATTTGTTGTGCACTGATACCTCTATAAGAAGTAAAAAAACGGGGGTCTGTGTTTTGTCGCGTTGTCGCCATTTTCACACGTGCGCGAAATAATGCAACGCGTACCTATATCATTACCCATTGACAATCGGCCGGTGATAATTGGTTAGTATGCCTGCATATAACTATTGTTACTGTATATAAAATGTTTGTTGCAGCGTTTTAAAACGAGAAGACGGTTCGTTTTTCTTCCTGTACGCGTTATTTGTCTCCAACAAAAAATACAATGCGGTTTTCGTTCGTATTGTCCGGTACGACGACGACGACGGCGCGGCGGTGCGTGCGTCATACCCGCGGTCCGTAAGAAGACGTAACGGCGATGCATTTTTCCGTCCCGCGGTCCAACTGTATCGGGCAACGGGCAAACTCGGAATTAAAGACCGTGGCGCGTTTAAAACGGAAATTAAAGTTTCAAACATAACAGAGGAGAATGTTTTCTGTTCGGACACTATAAATATGTATTATACGCGTCGCTTTTCCTTCGAAATATTGTCGTAGAAAATCGAATTGCAGCCACCGCGATATTGTTAAGAGGCGGATGGTTTTTTTTTTTTTCTTGTCAATAACTTTAGTTTTGTCTTTAGTCGTGTTTGTTGGACCGGCCGGACAGTAACAATAATGATAATCACGTCTTTCGAAACCTCTGCACTTGACTTGACCCGGCGGATTTCTGTTTTCGCGCGACATCACATCTCGAGCTACGAGCGGGTCGGTCTTGAGGAATCGTTAATTTATCGAAATGTCGCCGTATAGAATATTATAGAAAATAATACGTTTACGCGCGTTGTGTAAACGATTCCTAAACGCCATCTGTACAAGATAAGTACGTATCTGTACGTATCGGCGCGGCCGGACAAGGGTTTTGTGTCGCGGTACACGAAAAGCGCTTAATCGTCATTCGCGTTATTATTATTGTTTTTTTTTTTTTTTTTTACCGGGTTTATTACACGCACATTCAACCCAGATGTCTGTAACGTTTATTTTAATCCTTCGATAACGGCGATATATCGAAAATGTGAGTTTTCAAAGTTCCCGAAATTTATTGAATAATATAATAGAGAACGTCATCGTTCGGCAGGACCGGTTTTCTGTTGTCGTCAGTTTTGATATTACGAGTCGATCGAATCAATATTCGATATTGACCTGTTTACCCGTATCAGACTATTACATGTAAGAACATTGTCTGTGTTTGTACGTCAGTTGTCTTTTCTCGATTTTTCAATGTTCAAGCGAGATACGATTTATAGCGTATGAAATGTCACGATTTAAAAATACTTTTATGTCTCGTTTGAAAGTAAAAATGACGAAAACCGAAACGACGTACAAAAGCACTGATAACATATTCTTATACCTTTAAGTTTGATAATAATAATCAGTAAATTAACTCTATAATATTATGAAAATATTATACTGCAAGAAATTGGCCCTGTTGAACGCAAATTGTCTATATTATGTAATGTGCTTATACAAGCACTGCTTGTATAAGACGGGGATGAGTGCACATTTTCGAGCACTTATAATTTGAACAGATTGTACGGAAATGGAATATCAAAATAATCGTGAAAACATAGTGTACCACAAAGAGTATACAATATCTCCTGAGATAATAAAGATAATCAAATTATATTTTTTTAATATTATTCGCTGGGATAAGAAGTACAAATATTTATATTTGAATTAAATTTTTATATTTTAGGAAAAAACTTAAAAAAAATAACTTTTATATTACTTTATTTTTGAAAAATTTGAAGATACTCAATTTATAGAGTGTAAACTTTTGAACAATTTAACGTGGCTATCAACTTTTTATTTTCATTAAATTCATGATTTTTAATAATTTTTTAAAGTTCAGAGAAAAAAACCTATAGTTATGCAACAGGTTGTTATATTCTCTAATTGGTTATTATTATTCCAACTAATTTGTGGTACATTTTTTTCTCTGAACTTTCAAAAAGTATAAAAAATCACGAATTTAATGAAAATAAAATCTTGATAAGTCAAATTTTCAGGAGAATAAACTCTACAAAATTACTATCTTCTAATTTTTCCAAAACAATAAAATAAAAAGTTTTTTTACCGAAACATGAAAAATTAATTGAAGTATAAATATTTGTATTCTTTTGAATAATGTAAAAAAAATAACAACAGAATTTGATTATTTTTATTACCTCTGAAGATTACATATCTTCGTGAGACACTCTGTATAGAGTGAACGATGTCGTATTTAATTTTGGTGACATTAAAATATTTTGAATTTAAAGTCTGTGTTATTATAGAACCAGAGTATCGGAACAGCGAAAACGTATCATTTGATATAATATAAAGCCTATCGCCCGTTTTAATGAAAAACAGAAACGTCAAAATGCTATGCATTCTTAATTATAATTATTATCGCAGTATAGTTGCTACTGCAGTTTTTCGACGACCTTGACGATATATTTTTTTTATATTTAGGCACCTACGTATACAACGTATTATATTACAGTGGCCCACCGGTTATCACCGTACCAATGTCGTGGAATCAATCTTGTCGCGAATACCTGTACGAGAGAGGAGAGAGTTTGATGATCGCTAATTCACGATGCGAATTCCCCCTCTCTTCTCCTCCCCCTCCGTAAACCCTTCGTCGGATTGATACATCATTCGTGTTATAATCGTCCTAAATACCTGGCAAGGACTGTTGCACACGTATATACGTATAGGTTTATTATATTATTATAGTATGTCGCATATATTAAAATATTTACGCGTGTGTTGAAGCGATTACGTATACATCTGCAGTGACGTCGTAGTATTATTACCGTGCAATGAGTTTTCACTCGGTATTCGACACGTTTTTTTTAATTTTTTTTTTTTTTACGTGGCCTCACATACCTACACCCGGGCGCAACGTGAACACACGAGAGAACACGTCAATTCTCCGTTGAAAGTCGTAAAACTTCTTTCCGCGGTCATCGCTACAAATACAAAGTTGTCCATTGACGTTTTCGTGATTATCGTGTTTCGTTCAAACAATTTTATGTATGCATCGATATCTCTTGACCGACGATCGCGGTTATAGCGTCACAAAGTGTAGCATTTGATAATGGAGGTCCCTCAACGTGTATTTTGTTGTTGTCAAGATTGTTGTATACGTCCGTCGGAGATTCGCGGACGTATTGTTATTTTTCATTGTAATCACTGTCCGATAACCGCATGATGCGGATGCGATTAATATAGATATATATAAATTTTTTTTAAACCACCATCAAAATATTGGATTTCCTAGCAGATATCGTCTTCAGTAAAAAAATTCTATAGGTAATTCGATACGAATAAAATTAAGCCATAAAATAGTATATAGATTAATACTAGGTATTTAATCGTGTGATCAATTTTAATCGATGCCCTAATGCGTAAAGTTGTCGTTATAAGCTGTATCTTATCGAGTTACAGGATAATTCACCCACGGATCGTCTAATTCCAAAAAATTACGTACAATTATTCGCCTCTAGTCCGATGATCCGTAGTTTTATTATGTTCTATTAGCGCGCAGCTCGAATTCTGTATAGCGAAAGAGCACACGCACTTGGTTCATACGAACAAGTATTATAATCATTATCACGTTCCTGGTCGAAAGACGATCTTTTCAACGGCACGGCGCGTGTTGTACATAAATTATCAAATAATAATACGTTTGTTCCGGAAATGCGTTCAGAAATAATTAAATTCAATGTGCCTTCTTCTGTGCGGTAACGCGGATATATACGCACCACGAACAATAATTACGATTTCGTTTATTAGGCACGTTGGCTTACCGTATTGTCATTTATGATAGTAAATATAATTTTGTGTTCAAAGGTAATAGACCGTTCGGTTTAAATTTTAACGTTTTCGTGCTTTAAATATTTTATCATAATAATTTGTCGCGTCGTCGTCGTCGTTGTGTCGTCTGAAACCGTAACGCGGATACAACAATGTTGTATCAGGCATTCTGTTGCAGCGTTGTGTTTTACTTAAATATTTAATATTGTGTTTACGTTCAAACTTGTATCATACCTATTCACTTGATCTCCGGGGCGTTACCGCCATTAATAAGTAATGAATAGGTACGCGCGAGTCGGGAACAGATAAAATAAATTTATAATACGAAAAAAAAAAAAAAAATTATTTTCTCACTTCTCGTGTGCGTCTCTCGTTCATAAAAGAGGTGACGGTCGAATACCCGCAGCAAGATCCTGCGTCGCCGCCGTCGGTGGTGGTGTAGTATCGCTGAGGGTTCGCGTCTTCGGCACTGATGATCCCTTGGAAATTCCGTTTCGGAGTAGCGGTATCGGGATTATCTGACGCGGCCGCGATAAGCGGCGAGCAATAAGCGACGACGATCAGCGAGCAATAGACGACGATCGGCGCTTCGGGTGACATGACGGTATTGCGGCGGGAGCGTGCGGCCGACATGGCGTGCGTTCTGTCACTGGGATGGCGTGCGTATGACGACGGCCCCGGCAAGGACAAGATATAATGCCGACGCGGCCGCCGCCGCGCCGCCTCCACGACCACCACCGCTCGGCGGTCGGCCGTGCAGCGCGCTTCGCAATAAGGCCGTGGTCGCTCGCGGCCTGCAGGTAAACGCGACGTGGGCCCTCCTCCGTATTACATTCGTTACGTTAATCCGCCGGCGCCGCGTGTGTTGAGATCGTGACTCATAACGCGTGCGTAAAACTAGCACCTGATAATAATACAATATCGTGTGGTGTCGAGATACGACATAATAATAATTATTAATGATATTCTAGTCCGTAAATTCCTCAGTTTTTCATCGTGTATTTAGGTTTATGTTGAGCTGACCGACGTGTCCGTTTCCCGTATTGCACGAATAATTGAAAATCATTATACAGTTTCGTCTTGACCGCCGACGACGCCGAGTCAGCGCGGTCAGGTTGGGTCTAAAACAATCGTTTCCTGCATAGACGAAACTAAGACGTAGACTAAATAACTATACGTAGGCTTTTCGATTATAGCGTCTATAACTTTACGTTTGGCCTAGTCACTAGATCTCCACGAAGTTATCCGGCGATTGCGAGCTATTACACTTTGATCAGATATAATAACGAGATAAATTTGCGTTTGCATAATACTAGCATTTGACTATATTTTTTGTTTTGTTCTGTTACAGTATCGAGCAGTCCTATGGTAATAGTCAACAAGGGATTCTAGTGCCGCTCTTATATGCAAAACGGGTCCCGTGTATGAGCTTGGCGCCAGAAAAGCAAACAAATAAAGTGAGAATCATGTATTTATTAGATTGACGCCTTGGTATATACTATACGCGTGAACTTCGCTCAGACACGTTTTTCGTTTGCAATAATTTATCGCAGCGTACAGATATGAAATAAACTACTCTTTATATCCTGCGCTCTCAACCTCCCACCTAAAACAGTGGCACATCGCTTATCAGCAGTGTCAGTTTTTTTTTCTTTTCTTATTAGCGTAAAAGTGTTTTTACCGGATTAAAACGTGAGTGTAGCATGTGTAAATGATACCTGTAGTGTGATATTATATAATATTGTATAATATATTTAATATGATTTGGTGTAATTTTTTTAAATTCAAATATTTGTCGGCGGTTAACCGAGGCGTTAGACTAGGCCATGGCCTATCATTATAATTATTACATAGTCGATTCAGGTCGTAGAGTTTAGTCTTTGGGAATCTCCGGCGATCAGTTTATTATGTGTCTATGTAGTGTGGGGAGATTCGTTTCCGGCGAAATTTTAACGAATTTCCGACGGTTTTGCCGTTTTACAGCTCAAATATATTCGACGAAACAGGAACGTGATACCTGTAAATCGCATTGTATTATGCATCGTAGAACAATTTTACCGACGGATATGGGTTTTTTTAGTGTCCGGAAGTCTTTCGTCTTATGGTATAGGAAAATAGGAATTTATATTGTTTGTTTTTTTTCGTCGAATAACGTTAACACGTTATTTATTATACCCACGTTATTGTCTATAATTTGTAAGGTTCGTTTTATTAATAATTTATAGAAATATCGTCTTATTAAAACATTCTCGTATATAATATATACTCGTAAGTTTATGTAGAAGTTCTAGAGTGGTTACACGCATATATATTTTAAACTATTTTTAAACGCGGTTAAGGGTTATGAATTACTAAATTCACATGGAGACGCGAAAGAGAAATGTCATCAAATCTCCATCGGGATGATTTAGGGGCCAGACACAGACATAAACAACAAATTTGAAGGGGAGGGTTCATAAAAAATGTACAATAATAAATAAAACATTTCGCACTTTCACATTTGTGATTCTGGTTGATTTAAGGGCGAAGGATATATAACCTGCCATTATATAGTATATATAGAATAGTAATATTATAAGAGTATTATTATTTTGTCCGAATAATTATATTCGTGTTTTTATATTTTATTAATATATCCTTTTTGGTTTTTCTTAAAAAAATTTAAAAAAAATCATTCCGCACATACTATTAATACTCTTCTTTATAAAATCTATAAATATCCTCTTTTGTCTTTATTTTACTTCTTTACCTATGAGAACAAATTAAACTAATTATAACTGTTTTTCTCATCCGTTTCATTAAATATCACCCACAAATCAACAATAATAATTCGATTTCATAACACAAAAATCAAAAACCGTTCGTGTGTGTTTTCAGACTTCTGCGTGCAATAGATTCGGCTGTACATCGCACACAGACAAACAGACATTTTTATTAATTTAGAATATTGATGATGTCTATACAATTACTCATACAATTCCAATTAACTATAGCACTATGATTAACGGAAATATCGTAATATTAAAGTTGCATTATAAGTCTATCTATTATTATAGACACTATCTCATCGTTTGTCACGGAGTATCCTCCCCGGTTTTCCCGTTTAGCATCTTATAAAACTGTAGTAGGCGTCCCGACGGCGTTTTCTATAACGGGTCGACGTGCTCGCGGCTAAGGAAAATCAACAAAATCGTTATCGGTTCGTAATAATTTTTTTTATGTATACAATAAAATGTTTTCAAAAACAAGGTCGTTAAAAACGTGAAATATAATATTATTTTGCCGTTCGGCCGTTGATTATAATGTTGACGTGTTATTAGAATCTACAGTATGATGCGATTGCTGGTTCGTGATCTGAGTTCAATAAACGTGCCTTATTACTGCAAATTGTAGTTAATATCAAATTTTATTAAGAATTTTTATTTTGCATTTTTAAAAATATAATTTAAAAGTTTACAGAAGCAATGGAATAAACATTACAGGGATAAAATAATATGATTTATAAACGACCGAAAATGTTGCCCCGAGAATTAATTTATCGGCATAAAATCAAAACTTGAAATTAGATTTTACTATGACTGTCGACAATATAATGATATTATTGTGTGTAATTATCCCAGCCATTCAAAATTATTATTATTATTATATAACATTTCTTTTTTTATCATCGGTGAGTATATTGTGCGTAGGTATACTTAGTGATGGATATTATCTTAAATGCATATAGAATTTCAGTTTAGACGTGGTAAATGTTATACGTGTTTTACTAACATAAAATAATAATAATTACAATTTATTTTACATTTCTTTCCGGACAATATCGTGAATGTCGTGTAACTAAACGGCCTATTAAACTTAATATTATCAAACGCTATATACAACTAACAATATTATTTTTCGTATACCCAAGTCTAGACATTCGGGTGTATTTAGTCTATCGATTTATTAAAACTTTGTATTCCTCAATAATCTATATTGTTTGTGGGATCGTATTCATTAAATGAAGTTAGGTATCTATTTAATATCAAATATTTTCACACTAGATATTTGAAAAAAAGACGGACATTCTAAGCACGGTAGGTCACTGTTGTTGGTGAAATGTTTGAAAGGTAAGATATTTGGTGGAATTTAATGTAAATCTGTACGTAACGATTAATCATTGCTAACGAAAAACGATTCTAAGCGGAGTTTGGTTATGTTCTTAAAGGCCGTAATACTTATGATTTTCGTCAAAATTAAAATTTTTATAAAAACAAATTCTACATTACACTCAATTTGTTTCTTCCCGAATGTACCTCCCTAAAGTAGCACCCAATTTTAATTAAATGAACTTGTTTAATTAAATTCGAACTGAAGTAACTCAAATTTGTTAGTCGTTCAAGTTTATTTCACAAATATTTCATTGCGAGTTCAATAATGGCTTTAAACTAAAACGCATTTTAACCATTTTAACAAGTAGAGTTTTAATTTTTTTCTAATGGAATAAATTATTCAAAAGTTACAATTCTTGTAAAATATGATTTTTTTAAAAATACCTTTGCTAAAATGAGTTGAATATTTAAAGAAGCATAAAACGCCGACGATACTATCTTCCAAATTTAGTTATTTACAAAACTTATTTTTAAAACCCATTTTTAAAAATCTTTTTGTTTGTTTTACGTAAACACTTTTGATTATAATAATATATTGTTCGTTAAAAATAGACGATAAATAATTATAAGTTATAATGTAATGGTTTTTCAACGGTATGCGTATTATCGTTTATAAACACTGTAAACTTACTAGTTAAAGTATACATTTTAATATTTTATAGATTAATTTTCAGTAATTTCTGCAACTAACTGATTCAACAACGGTAACATACTGCATGCTACGTATACAATTATATTTATAATTGCATTTTTTATAATTTTAGATAGATAAAAGATATATAGATATATTCTAATATAGGTATCTAAACAAATATTTAACGTATACATTTTTACCTAAATATGTCATTGTTGAAAATTATTCTAATGACACCTTAATAAATTATTTAAAACTGTGAAATGTCTGTATATAGACTTAATGGAAATTTGTATAATTACTCACATAGTTTTACAAATATACTCGTATATAATCATATGAATATGATTTATAAAAATAATGACGCGTTGACGCCTGATGCACGATATGTAGATAACATAATTATCATGAAAGTATTGATGTATTTTATTAAGGATTTGTCGGGTTTTAAAACGTTATCTTTCTTTTAAAACACTTATTATTATATAACATTTTTGAGTAACTACCGTAAAAATATATTAAATTTTATATTAAATAGATGATCAATTTATGACGGGTTCAGAAATATTTTAATTTTTTTTTAAAAATGTATTCGTAACATTATTGCTATAACCTGTATACAATATAATATTTATTTTGAAATTTTAGTTAGGTTCTATATATTAAACAGTATGTGCAAAATTTGATCTTACAGCAATTTTCTCTAGGGGTTTAAGGCTGCAAAATAGAGGGAAAAATGGTGTTAAAGTTAAATTCGAAATATTTTTATTTTATGATGCGTATATAATATAAATGTTTAATCAAAAATGATTATTTTTTAGGTTTTGAGCAAAATGAGGAATTAAATT